TGGCTCTAAATCCCAGCGCCGTGGTGGATTATCTGCCCTGCTGGATCCAAGCTGGGGGCCGGGATGTGCTGTCCTGCCAGTTCCCCTTATTGCTCATTTATGCGGTTATTTAAAAAAGCCAACACCCAAATTGCCTGGAGTCACCCCGAATTGGGGCAGGACAGGGTTTGCTTTGGGCCCCCACTCCTGGGTGTCTCCTTTGCTGAGGTGAGCAGGATGTGGAGCGGGATTGAGAGTGGGATGTGGAGCCTTTCTGTCCCCACCAGCCCCTCCAAGGTCACCCCGCTCCCCTCCTGCCTCCCCTGAAGGCGGGCGTGATACGGGGCTGATTAATCACCGAGCCCGGGGTGGTGAAGCTGCCGCTGGCTCAGCCCCGTCCTCCTGCCTCTTCACACTTTTATTTTTGATTGCTGCTGTTGGGGGGGCAGGAGGGGGGCCAGGGGCTGCCGGCAGGGGCTGTGAATTCCCCGGGTGGTCATTTGGACAGTGATGTTTCAATCAGGGCTCCTGCTCTGCTCCAGCCGCTCTGCAGGAAGGGGTTTTGCTCCGGTTTGGAGGCAGGAACTGGCCCCACCGTGGTGGGGTCCCAGGGGTCCCCCTGCCTCTCCCAGCCCTGGACCTGGCCCATGGGTGCCAGTCTCCATCTGCTGTGTCTAACTGGTGTGTTGGTCTGCGTGCCGTCCCTCAGCTGTGCCACGCTGGGCAGAGGGGCTTTTTGGGGTGAAAAAGAAGCTTTTTGGGGTGAAGAAGAAACACTGGAGCAAGGCTGTGTATTATTAACCCCTTAACTGCTGCCACGCACAGGTGGGCTCTCGTGGACATACCTTGGCACCACCAGAACCAGGGGGCTTTTTATGGACCCCATTTATTGAGCCCTGGGAGTGACACTGTGACAAGGGACGCTCAGCCCTGTGTGATACCCAGGGTTTCTCTCCACTGGGTCCCTGCCACCTCCTCGGTGGGTCAGGCGCTCTGGGGAGCCTTGTAGCTGGGGCTGTGCTGCCTTGCAGCCCGGCGTTAATGTTTTTCCTGCGCCAGGTCCCCAGGCCGCTTCCAGGCGCGGTGTTTAGCGCGGGGCAGGGAAAACATTTGGCCTCTGACCCGAGGCCTGTTAACAGCGTCGCGGGCCACGTTTCTGAGATGCCGCGGCTAAAAACGGTGCCGGTGACTCAGTCCCTCGCTGGTCTTGTCAACTGACCCCGGCCGGTCTTTGCCAAGTCCCTCCGCCTGCTCCTTCTCCCTTTCGGGGCTGCGTGACCCCCGGGCGGGGAAGGAGCCTCCGGGCAGGGCTGGAGTGGCCGTGCCCATCCACCTGCCCGACACATCTCCTGCCCGCTGGGTGGGTGATGGGGAGGGCGCTGTTGCTCTCTGGGGTTGGAAATGGGGTTTTGCCCCTGCTTTCCCACCTCCCCATCCTCACCCCAGAGGGACATAGGCTGGGTGAGACCTCTGGAGCTTCTGGTGTAGATTCGGGCATGGCTAATGTTGGTGCTGGATCAGGGTCTCCAAGGATGGAGGTTGCCTTCCTTACTGCCAGACTTCCCTCCCTGTGGGGAGGAATCCCTTCCTAACACTGCAGGGCAGACCCTGTCCTGCTGCCCCTTCCTGGGGCTGCTCACCCTCCTCATTCTGATGGAGGTGGCCTGATTACTCACTCCTGTGCTGCAGTGAGAAAAACAAGCAGGTTCGGAGGTTTTTTGCAACTTCCCCCCCTGCACCCCGCGTGGCTGCTGCCACGTTAAAACCAGGGGCCTGAAAATGAGGAACACAGAGCACGGAGGAGTCCTGACCTGCTGGCCCTGGCACTGGAGGGTCCCCCAGCCCAGGTAACCCCTGCCCTGTTGTCCCCCTTCCCACACAGCGGGGTGGCAGCAGAGCCCATCCCCGGGCCGTGGGCACCTGTGGGGTGGCTTTGTGGATGCCCAGTGGGGTGGTAGCTCATGCTCCTTGATCTGGAGCAAACACCACTGGGCTTGTGGCTACCTGGACCCAGCCAGCTGTGCCTGCCTGGGCTGGGTTACCCCCGGGCTCCCTCACTTGCCACCCTGGTGTCTCTCCCCACCCCCCTGGCATTTGAAAACGAAAAACGAGGAAGGAAGGAAGGGAAGGCTCAGCCGGCACTCGCTGCCAGTAGCGAGAAGCGAAGCTGTTTTCACTTCTTTCTTCTCTCTTTCCTTTTTGCTGCCCCTCAGTTACCAGCCCGGAGCGGGGGTGGGTGGGTGGATGGCCCCGGCCCCCCTCCTTCCCCGGGGGTCCCACTCCCCCCTGGAGCTGCCGATTGATTTTTCCGCTCATAAAACGGCCACGATCGACCAGGGAAATAACCACAGGCGGGAGCGGGGCTGGGCAGCGGCGCCTGCACCGAGTTTGGGGGTTCTCAGCCGAGTGGGGCACCGCTCCCTCCGTCCAGAGTGATGGGCAGTTGTGTGGCATTTGCAGGGGGGGCACCGCGGGTGCCACCTCCCCATGGCCACCCTGGGGGGGGGTAACCTGATCCCTGCACTCTGCAGGGGCTAAATCTGGAAACTGCCTCAGGGCAGCTTTGATTTCTGACCCACGCCTGGGCAGGAGCCCCCGGGGGTGCTCTGGGGCCTGGGTCCGTGGCTCCAGGTGTTGTGTCCCCTCAGGGGTCTCTGGGTGCCCCAGGCTCTCTGGGCAGCGGGTCTGTCGCCAGCCTGGCCCCTCGCGTTGCGGAGCAGCACCCGATGGAGCTCCAGCACGTCCCGGCGGTTGCTGAGCAGCCGACCCCGTGCCACCGGCTGTCACTGCAGGGATGAGGGACAGCTCGGGGCTCTGTGAAGTCCTGAAGGGGATTAGGGAGGGTTGGGGCAGCTCTGGGTGCCACTGGGGATCCTCCGGCTGGAGCCACCCCCAAGTGCCATCCTGGCATGTTGGGTTCTTGATGAAATAACACCCCCCAGAGGGAAAGCAAGAAAGGTCCAGAAATAACCACGCTGCTAAGTAGCAGCAGAGATGTTTGGAAGGGAGATGCGTTCCCTGGCAGTGGGTCTGGCGGGTGGTGATGGAACACGGCTGGAGCCTGGACAGCCCTGTGTTCTGTGTCCCCCCCAGAGAGGAAAAGAGGAGTTGGGGTATGGAGAGAGATCGTGACCTTTTTCCTCCTCCCTCCAGCTTCCCACCCCTGAGCCCCTCTTCTGCCTCTCCATCCCCTTCCTGTTGCTCAATCACCCACCCTGGGCCTCCCACTGTCCTGCCTCCCTGTGAACCAGGATGAACCCTTGCTGGGCTCTCCTCCCAGTAGAGACCAGTCTGGGGCTCCCACTGGTGCAGGGACGGCTCTGGAGAACCACAGGGCACCTTCCCAGGAATAACAGGTATCCTGGATGGAGCTGCCATCCCATGTGCTCTATGTCTGTGCCCCTGGATGGTGGGATGTGTCTCCAGGGTGGGATGTGTCCCCCAGGGTGAGGTGCCTGCACGATGACAGCCGGGTCCCCATCCTGTCCCGCCAGGGCTGACTCAGAGCGAAAGCAGAAGCTGCTCCGTGTTTCGGGGGGTGGGGGGGGAAGCCAAGCAGAACCAAGGGGGTTATTTTAAACCTGACCTAATTTCCCCCCTCTATCAGGCCCAGCTCTGGCCACCCTTCCCCATCCTCATCCTGGGAGAGAGGGGATGCTTTTGATGCCCCCACCCCTGGTCTCACAGCCAGGCAGGGCAGTGGGATGGGGGCCGGTGGGGGTGAGTGGGTGCTATGTTGTGGGTGGCTACACCCTGGCACCCTTCACGTGACACCCTCTGCGGGCTGTCCCTGGTGTCACTGGGGTCTTTTCCATGGACCTCTGCTGTTTCCCATTTCAAACAGCCCCCTGTCCCCTCCTCTAAGGCCATGTGCAACATCAGCCTTAATGAAGCTCCAGTGGATAACTGTCCTAGGCTCTCGGCTCCCATCCCCCTTCGGATGGGCCACCATGGCTAATTAATTCCCTTCCCCTTGCCGGTCAATAGCTGCTCTTGAGCTGTGTAATCGTATTGCTGTCCGTGCTGCCTTAATTTAATTTCCCCCCAGGACAGCGCGTGGCACCGCGTCCCAGGGCCGGTGTTTCGTGTCTGCCGTGGCCCCTCTGTCTGCCATCACACCTTGTATTTAAATAGCAAAACCCCCCGGATTCGTCTGGTGATGCCCCCCGGGTGTTCTGTTCCCCTGGCAGCTTTGCTTCGGGTCCCGTGCTATGGCTTCCCTCTCAGCCTGCATGATTGTCTGTAATCCGGACCCCCCATCCCGCCGGCACCTCCCGCATACCCGGCCCCGCGTGGAAAGGCGCCCGTGGAAAGCTTGCCCGCGGTGGCGTCGGTCGGGCAGATCCCCGTGCCCCCGGCATCCTCTCGCCCTCCGCTTGGGCGCCGTCCCCTTTGTACGGGGAAAAAGGGCCGGTCTTGCGGGCGGGGGGCTTCGCCCGCTCCCCCCCCCCAGCGCTTTCGCGTGCGGGCCCGCACAGAGCCCGCCATTGTTCATTCCCACCGCCCCGGAGCGCGGCTCTGGGACAGCCTTTGGGGCTGGGGTTAAACCTGCCTCCGGCTCCTGGCACCCGCCGGCCTTTTCTTCCTGCTCTTGCCTTGCTTTCTCTTTCCCTTTCGCTCCCTGGCTCTGGGTTTTCCCGTCGTTCCGGTGTTTGGGAAGTTGGCGGCTCAAAGCGCTCTCCAGCCGTGGTATGTGAGTCCACGCTCGCCGGGCACGGGGTCCTGGCTGCTCCCTGTCCCCCTCGGGGTCCCTGGCCTGGCTGCTCCCTGTCCCCCTCGGGGTCCCTGGCTGTCCCTGGGGACAGCGGTGGTGTGGTGGGAGGCTGCAGCAGGAGGACAGACCCATCCAGCCGGCGTTGGGGCGTCCATCCCGGATCAGGGCCGGTGCGGGTGCTCTGGGGTGTCTGCTCTCTCCTTGGGCCTCAGTTTGTCTCCTGCACAGTAGGCTGCTGGTGACGTGCCGTGTCCCCCTGCCAGGGTGAGCTCCGTGCCCGGTGGTGCCCGCGTGTCCCCCCAGCACCATGGCGTCGCGCATCGGGCTGCGCATGGAGCTGATGAAGCAGCAGGCGCAGCAGGAAGCGGAGCGGGAGCGGGTGCAGCAGCAGATGATGATGAACTACATGCAGCAGCAGAGGATGCCCGTGGCCTCCACCCCGGCCATCAACACCCCCGTTCACTTCCAGTCCCCGCCGCCAGTGCCCGGAGAGGTCCTCAAGGTACCGTGCTGGGGGTGTCCCCCCTGCCCAGCCGTGGGGGAGCCCGCGGGGGTCCCTCACGGTTCGTCTCCTCGCAGGTCCAGTCCTACCTGGAAAACCCCACCACGTACCACCTGCAGAAGTCACGGGACAAGAAGGTTCAGGCTTATCTCTCTGAAACCTACGGGAACAAGTTCGCTGCCCACGTCAGCCCTGCCAGCCACTCTCCCAAGCCGCCCCCCGCCGCGTCCCCCGGCGTCCGGCCCGGCCACGTCCTGTCCTCCTCGGCGGGCAACAGCGCTCCCAACAGCCCCATGGCCATGCTCAACATCGGCTCCAACCCCGAGCGGGAGGTGAGGGGGTGTCACCGCGCAGCTGGGGGGGCACAGGGTGCTGGCAGGGGCAGGGAAGCCCATTGGCACCTGCGCTTTTCCTTTCAGTTCGATGAGGTCATCGATGACATCATGCGCCTGGATGACGTTCTGGGCTACATGAACCCCGAAGTCCACATGCCCAACACGGTAAGTGGGGGGTGATAGGGACGGGTCAGACCCGGGGCTGAGGGAGGGAGGGGGTTCTGGGGGCCCCACAGCCCTGTGCTTGCAGGGACAGAGGTGGCACAGAGGGGACATTCCTCCACATGTAGGGTACCAGCCCAAGCCAGCCCCATCCTTGCAGGCAGCAATGTCTCCCTTTTTCCAAGAGAGCCAGTTCTCCAGTTTCTTTCCATCTAATGGCAGTTGGGAATCCTTTTAAAAAGCCAGAGAGGTGGGAGAGGGGCGTGGGGAGGGACCCAGTGTCCACTACAGCATGGGGGGATGTGAGTGCTGGGAGTAGTTTCCCAGCAAGAAGCTCCCTCAGAGCCTCCCCGTCTCCTGGGTCAGATCCTTATGGCAGCTTGTGCCTCCCAGTGGGATTCATCCTGCCGAGCCCTTCTCGGATGTGATTCATCTGCCCTATTTTAGATATTGGCCGTGGGAGGGGATCAGCTGTGCCCTTTGAAGTCCTGTTTTCTTTGCTGCTCTGATTATTGCTGCTTTAAGGGCCATGGGAAGACAATTCCACCTGCCTGGGCTACGCACTCCCATCCCAGAGGCCGAGGGGCTGGGCTTGACCCCGGTCCCCATCCTGGATGGAGCCAACCCACCTGTCCCTCTGCTTTTCAGCTGCCCATGTCCAGCAGTCACATGAATGTCTATAGTGGGGACCCCCAGGTGACGGCCTCGCTCGTCGGTGTCACCAGCAGCTCCTGCCCTGCTGACCTCACCCAGAAGAGGGAACTCACAGGTACGTCCCCAGAGCTGGGGTGGTGACAGCGAGTGCCAAAACTGGCTGGGGCTGCTCTGTCCCCATGGGCAGGGAGGGCGGCTCTGGGGAGTCCTGGGGGGCTCTGATGCCAGCCTGGGATGCTGGTGGGGTGAGGCACAGCCTTGTCCCCTCTGGGTGATGTTGTGGGTCTCCTGCAGATGCCGAGAGCCGAGCCCTGGCCAAGGAGCGCCAGAAGAAAGACAATCACAACCTGAGTGAGTTCAGTGCTGGCTCTCCCTGTCCTGACCCCAGAGCCCTTTCTCCATCACTCTTCATCCTCATTCCTCCTTTCTCTGAGCTGTGTCTCCCTTCCCATCCTACCTCACTGTCAGGAGAGACCCCCAGACCCTGCATGGCTCCCTCTTTCCTGACTCTCCAAAATGCAGTGCAGGAAACACCCCGTTGTCCTTCTGGGGGAAGGCCAGGCCTGCTGGGCCATGGCTGGTGTTTGGCTCCAGAGGTTTCTCATCCCGAGCCCCCCAGCTCCAGAGGCACTGGGGCACAGTGGTGGCTCCCAGCCCCACGAGCCAGGAGCAGCAGCGTGGCTGGGGGGGTGTGTGGGATGTGGAGCCTCCCCTGCTCCTGCTGCCCCCTCATTTCCATGCCTCTCTTCTCACCTGCAGTTGAGAGACGGCGAAGGTTCAACATCAACGACCGCATCAAAGAGCTGGGGATGCTGATCCCCAAGGCCAACGACCTGTATGTACCCGTGGCTCCTGCAGGGGGGGATGACTGTGGGTCCTGGGGGCTTGCTCAGCACACGGGGGTACCTGCAGAGGGGCTTTCGGTGCAACAGGGGTGAGGAGACACATTGCTGGCACACAGGCCCATCTCTTTTTCCACCCTGGGTGACAGGGATGTGCGCTGGAACAAAGGGACAATCCTGAAGGCGTCTGTGGACTACATCAAGAGGATGCAGAAGGACTTGCAGAGGTCACGAGACCTGGAGAATCACTCGCGGCGCCTGGAGATGACGAACAAGCAGCTGCTGCTCCGCATCCAGGTGAGCTTCCCTGCACTCCTCCCTCCCTCTGCTCGGCCCCAGCCCCACGGGCAGCTCACTCCTGCCCTGCTAAGGGGACAGGCAGGGGCTCTCATCCCTCTTCTGGCTGGTAAGTCCTCAGGGACAAAGTCCTCGGACAAACCTGATGTCTGAGGCTCAGGTCGCTGCACCCTGTTGAGCTTGGGTCACCACCTCTCCCAGGGGCTCCTTCTCTGTGAGCTCAGTCCCTCTGTCCCTGCCACCTCCATAAATGTCCGTGTGTCCCCGTGTGTGACATCCCACCAAAGCCCTGCTGTGTCCTGTTGCAGGAGCTGGAGATGCAGGCACGTGTCCATGGGCTGCCCACCTCCTCGCCCTCGGGCGTCAACGTGGCCGAGCTGGCTCAGCAGGTGGTCAAGCAGGAGGCCAGCGGGGACGAGGGGACGCTGGAGCCACTGCTGCCACCCCCGGACCCCGAATCGCAGCCGCAGCCGGCGCTGCCCCCGCCGCCCCAGTCTCCCTTCCACCAGCTGGACTTTACCCACAGCCTGAGCTTCGACGACGGCTCCCAGGGCTTCCCGGACAGCCTGGAGCCTGGGCACAGCGCTTCCTTCCCATCCCTATCCAAGAAGGAGCTGGACTTGATGCTGATGCAGGACACGATGCTGCCCCTGGCCTCTGACCCCTTGTTCTCGGCCATGTCCCCGGAGGCCTCCAAGGCCAGCAGTCGCCGGAGCAGCTTCAGCATGGAGGACACAGACATGCTGTGATGAGGAGCTGCTGCGAGGACTGGCCCGTCAGGTTTGGGGTGTGAAGTCACAGGACACGCCTGGCAGGAGGAGCCCGTCCTGCCACGCACTTGAATCTTCCCAGGAGTACCTTTCTCTATGCAACGGGGGCTCGGGTCGTGCCCGCCGGGTGCCACCGTGTCTTTCTCAGCTTGTTTTTGCCAGGGGCGGGGATGGCCCTTCCTGGCTTGCCGTGGCATTGGCCTGACTGCAGATTCCACGGCCCGGGAGCGTGGTGTCGGCTGCTTTGCCTTTCAGCGAAACCCCCCCGGCCCGACCCCCTTCCCCAGGGTGCCTCTGGGAGCCCCCAGCCCCCTGGGAGGCAGAGGGAATGCCGGAAGCTTTGTGGTCTGGCTTTTGAATGCTCCTCGCCCCGCTCCGGGAGCCCCCGTTCCCAAGGAGTCTTGTCCAGTGTGGTGTCCGAGCCCCCGATGCCTCACGGTGCCACATCCCTTGCGGTTCCTCCTTCCTCCGAGCCACCTCTTGGGGTCACAGGGCTGGGGGCAGACCAGGGGCTCCAATTAGTTGGAGCACATTAATTAACATGGCACTGGGGTGTTGTCTGAGTGAGATGGGCCTGAGGCTACAACTTCAGGTGGGTGTTGAGGGCATCCAGAAGAGCTGGGATGGGGTGTTGGATGCTCCACCAACCCCCTGCTGTGACCCCACCTTGTGGGGGGACCCCAGCTCGGGGTTAGGCAGCACCCACCACCCCAGAACCTCGCTGGCCTCTGGACAAGGGCTGGACACGGTGTCAGGTGACCTCCAGCCTCCCTTGAGATGCCCCCACAGAGGTGCCTCTGCCCTGTGACACGGAGCCCTGGCTCTTTGCTGGAAGCATAAAGGGGTTTCACGCTGTTTTGGGGATACCTGTTGAAGGTCCTGCCCCATGTGGGCATGAAGGTCTGGGCTGTGACCAGGGAATGGTTTGTACCAGTTGCCAAACTGAGCTGCTGCTCTCTCTGCCTTGGACTCTGGGGGTTGTTTCCCTTCCAAGTGTCACCAGCTCGTTCCCCAGCCAGGATGGCTCCGTGCTGGGGATCTGCTTTGGGCTCTGCCTCTTCTGCCCTCCCAGCCTGGGAGGTGGCTGGGAGGGAGCTGGGAAGGGCAGGGGGACACTGTTCACAGGGAAAATACTGCATGGATTTCTTCAGGGAGAGGAGGGAAGGGAGGGGAGAGGAGACCCCTTGGCAACCATCACCCTCTGGGCCGTGGGTGCCCTCGGGGATGGGGCTCCCTGAGTGCCCCCCGTCCTGGACCAGGGATGGGGGATGTGTGGGGTCAGGAAAGCCCAGCCAAGGTGGGACAAACATGCCCCATGGTGGCTGGGTTTGGGATTGGAAGTGGGGGACAGCCACAGTGCCCCCCTGGAGAGGTGCCTGTGGGGTGTGAGGGTGTGGGGAAGTGCAGAAGGAGGGGAGGAGAGGGGGAAGGGAGAGGGAGGAGGTGTTGGAGTGGCCCTGGAGCGCTGGGACGGGGCAGGGGCCAGGAAGGAGGGTGCTGGGCGAGGGGCTCTTGGTTTGAGGAGCTGTTGGGTTTGGGGGTGTTCACAGGAGGCCTTGGCACCCTCTGTGTGCTGCCGTTAGTGCCTGTAAAGAGAATTATCCCCTGGCAGGGTGACAGCACCCGCCGCTGTGCTGGGTCCCTGGGGAGGGGGGATCCCTGGATCTGTGCACCCCAGAGGGGCTGCGTGGCTGCCTCAGGGCAGGCCTATGAAATCCCCTAGGAAATTGGGATTGTCGTGGCTTTAGGGTGGTTCTGTTGGGCCCTCGGGCACCGGCAGGACTCAGCCAGAGCACGAGATGTGGCGTCTCCCCCAGCCGTGAGTAAACAGTTGTGGATTATAATTATTATTTTTTTTTTTTTAATCTTTTGGGGTTTTTGTTTGTTTTTTTTTTTTTTTTTTTTTTTTTTTTTTTTAATGCACTGTGCTCTGATTAAAAAATTTTACTACTGTTTTATAAATAAATGTATAAAAGAATGAACTGGAATGGAAGAAGAATCATTAAAATATATTTATTTACAACACCCTGGAGCGTTGCAGTTGCAGTTTCTTCTTGTCCCAGGAGCTCACCTGTGTTTCCTACCTGTTGGGTGGCCTCTGGAGCAGGAGTGGGGGCTTTTCCCGCTGCTGGGGCTGGATTAGCATCACCCCTGGGAAAAATCTGCTTACAAAGTGTCCTGCTGAGCCCGTGCCTGGCAAAACTCATCCCATGCCACATCTGCAGCCACGTGCCAGGTTCCCGCTGCCCCCCATCACTCCCCCTCTGTGATGGTGTTAAACACACACACGAGGGAAAAAAAGAAAGCAAATCCACCTTAAAATAGACTTCCCAGGATGGAAAATCACAGGGGCTAATCTTGGAAACTTTATTGAAAGAAGAAGGAGGGGAAAAAAGAGCGAGAGGAGTCCGAGGGGGGAGAGGAGGAGCGAGTGGTTCCAGACACTTTAGAGAAAAAATAAAAAAAAAATCCCTGATTTGATTTATCTGGGGAGTGTGAACACTAAATAGAGAACAACGCCTGAAGTGTGAATTATTTCCTATATTAACACAGAGAAAAACTGATAGCCTTTTCATGTCAGGAGAATAGTGTGGAGGGAGGGAGGGGAGCGAATGACATTGTTCCATCCCCGGGTTTGCTCACTCTTTATCAGGCTGAGATCAAAATTTATTCCCAGGATGAGGCCTGCGGCCCGGCTGAGGCCCTAGAGATTTTTAAGGGCCTAATTAAGAAAACAGGATGAAAATGGCGAAATAAGAGGGCAATTTACTTCTTGCAGAATAGGGAGATCAAATCAACTTATGAGCAATTAATGTGCACAAGGAGAGAATAAAGGGATGCCGGGATATGGAAGAGGGCCTCATTTTAATGACATGCTCTGGTGTTGGCATAGAGGATTACTCTGAAGGTCAGATGTAGATTGAAACGACCTTGCAGATTCTTAACCCTCCTTCCAATTAACAGAACCAACTCAGAAATGCAAAAGACCCTGGCTCGGAGCACTGTCATCCCTTTATGTTCCGAAGGGAGGGGAAAAAATAAAATTACAAAGGAGAGAGAGGACGAAAGGGGGTTTCCTTGGCTTCCACAGCAGCTGCGGAGACGGGAGCTGGGGCAGGCGGGAGAGGAGGCTCTTAATTACAGTCTGAGAGCCACCCACGGAAAAAACGGTGTCAGGGCTCCGAGTGGGATATAAAAGGGAGGCAGCAGCGGCTGGGGCTGT